TATTACCCTTGTTATAACAAGTAGGAAGCATTACAACGCTTATGCTCATGCTTTAATTAATATAAATAAGCTACTTTACCAGTTTAAGAAAGCTTAATATAAATAAAACTATAAGGTTATGTAAGTGATTTTCACAATTAGTTTGTAAATAATTTTATAGGCTAATAGGTAAAAAGTTTATCAAGCTACCTCATACCTATTTTCAAGTTACCTCATATCTATTTTACCAAAGGTTACTATTTGCACCACAATGCTTGTCACTTGTAGGTTTCAATGACCACCCTTCTAAATACTCAATCTACGCAAGAAAGTGTCTTTGTTAACTTCCATACTTAATACAAAACTCTAATTTAGGTTAAATTGAGCCTATATTTCTAAAGCTCAATCGTCAACCCCCAACCCAGTTGCAAAATGTAACGTCCTCTTTGATATTATTAGAACAATACTCTAACACACCAATGTAATAACTAAATAATAAAGTTTTTTAATTAAGGTTATCACAATACAAGGATTTAAGAAAAGTAGTTTAAAAGATTGGGATTCCAAGAAAACCTTTTTTAAAAACATTTGAGCTTAAACTATAGTTTAAAACAAGTTATAAAATATAAGAAAGCAAGAAAGTTGAATAACCTCTCAAACAATCACTAAAAGGGGAATTTGTGTGTACCTGAAAAAGTGCTCCATCCGCACGACACATGTGCCGTCTATCGCAGGGGATAGCATAAATAGAGCCTAGAAAACTGGTTGAGCCTACGAGCTAACCTATTCAACCCACCAATTTTGATAGGTTAGGTTGAAAGAATTAGCCTATTTTTTAAAACGACTTGAGCTAGTCCAACCTACAAAAATGGCGAGTTAAAACGGGTTGGCTTATTTTTTAAAAAATAATATATTTTTTTAATTACAATATATCTTCTTATAAAATACAATAATGAGAATATTTTTTAAATCTATAATTTATGAATCCCAAATATGTTCTTTATGTTTGAAAGATAATGTAAATCTTTCTTACAATTTGCAAATGAAAATATTGTTATAGTTGTAAATCAATTATTTATTAGTTTTTATAGAAATATTTTGAATATAATTATTTGTTAATCTCATAAGATCTATTGATTGAAATTATAGATATAAATTTGTTGAAAAAAATAATATGAGTTTATATTCAAATTTTATTTTAAAAATAATATAAGAAAAATCATAGTCTACATATAATAATGTTGATTATAAATTTTAAATCATTTTAAAAAATAAAATTACTTTACACGAGCTAGCCCGCCAATGTGCAGGTTAGGTTGGGTTTTCCTAACCCATTTATCTTGGCAAGCTAGCCCAACCTAACCCGCTAAAATGTTAACCCGTGCGAGCTAACTCGCACCCAATTACACAGCTCTATGTATAGAGAAGCCAATGTTTTCACTATGCAATGCACTATGGTAAGTTGTTGTCATGACAACACTCTAGATCTAACTTTTAGAGTGCGCCATTTCGTCATCTGACATCTGATTTGAGTGGTTCAAGTGTTCACATATAGCTCTTCGAGCCTTATAACTATTGGTACTGGTCTCACATCTAAATATTCAACCATTTAAAATTTTAACAATTGAACCAAATTAGTCCACTTTCAAATCAAAACACACATAAGAATATCTAAAAACCCTCAACCTAGTGCTAATAGCTTTGGAATCAATTAGACCAACTCAAATAGACTACACACCATCTAATAAACCAATTATATCACATCAACAACAGTCTATACATAATTTGGCCATTAAAACCCTATTTCATTGTAATATCAAGGGGTCATAATACAATCTTAATATAACACACTTGGCCAACCACACATGCAAAACATTACAAAATCATCACTTGCACTAGTATATCAACCTCTCACAATCATGTCATCACATATAAAACATTTTAGGTCGAGATACACACATTACACAATTCCCTATGCAAGTAACTAAAAATATCCCTGAAATCCTAAGTTGGTGCAGAACTCATTAGTTATTCATTAGCACATACACAATGGCCCAAGCTCCGGATCACCTAATCAATATGCCCTATCCCACTTTTCAACTATGGTTTCCCCTTATTACATAAAATTAAGGGAGTCATTACTCCAACACCATATTACACTAATACTAAGGAGTGTCAATCTCTAGTACTATACCCCATATAGGTATTAAGGAGATTATCTCCAACATTGCACCTTACTAGGCACTAAGGAGATAATTGTCATATGGACTTTTATTATTTCTTTCTATGAGTGAACTCACACCCCCTATCATGATCATGCTAATTCTTTCATGAAATTCATATATTTGCACCCAAACCATAAACTACACATATAAATACTTTCACAAAGTGATTGTTTTTAAAAGTTATTTTCTATGCACAAAATTCTCATTTCACAACATGCTATACTTCTAAACATAAGTATGCAAAATTACACATTTATTTACAAACAATTAAGTACTTAATCAAATAAAGTAAATTATTCCATTACCTTAATCCTTTTGTCACAAAAAGGATTATTGTGATCTAAAATATGTGCTCCACAAATTCCACACATGTGATAACACTCGAGCAATACTTAATCTACACAATTAAGTGATAGTCGTCAATTATCACTTTAATCAAACCCCAAAATTACTAAATTTCGGGTACCCATTATACCTAAAGATATCATTTTATTGACATCACCCTTCCAACACACTCATTAATTCTCTTAACACCTAACACTCAAATTATACCACTCTTTTACCCACATTACTCCCAAACACCCAAATTCTACTTAAGGTTCGTCTACACCCTAACTACAAACTCCAAATCATTATACAATTTATAAACCTAGATTTAGAAGCTTAATTAACACCCCAAGACTTTAACTAAGGCAATGAATTCAATTACAACCCAAGGAAACATGAATCAAGTCTCATCCATGCTCAAATCTACCAAAAATTCACATAGAAGAGAAGGGAGAGGAATAGGAAGCTTATTCAATAGTGATACTTGCTCAAAATGCTCTTGAAATGCTCTTAAGATGAAGCCCTAGCAATCCCAAGATCTCCCTCCTTTGCTCATCTCGGTTTCTCTCTCTTTTTAGTTTAAGCTAGAATTTAACTGTGCGCCACGGCACCTGGCACAACAAGTGCCCTCTGCCATTTTGTCCTCTCGTTCGAGCCTAGTTGATCCATACATTATCTTAATTCATTTCTAAGGCTGTTCAAAAGTCTAATAACTTGATTAGTATCCCTAAAACACTATTAATTTATAAATCACATATTTTGACCAATTTACCTTTCTTAAACACTCAATGTTTAAATTGAAAACTTAGGATGTTACACAAAACCTTAGTTTCATACCCATTAGCCTTTCTATAGCTACCCAGTTAGAAAATAATCCCTTAAAGCTCCCCAATTCACTTTCTTTATATACCAACCCAAGAGAAATTAGAGTAGAATATAAGTGAAAAGTGGTACAAAACTTACTCGGTAAGTGACAAGTTGAAAATATTTCTTGGTACTTGAAAATTATGTGCCCTAGCAAAGTTGACCTTCCTTCTCCTCCCCTTCGTTCCTTTTCTTCTTTTTCCTCTCTACCTCACAAGTTGATCCATGCACATACTTATACAAATTTGTGCAACGCGTACAACGTATATAGCTTATGTAGTGGCATATGGCATAGTGAAGGAAATCTCTTAGTTGGTCATGCAATTCGCTTCAGACTATTGTGCCTTCACTTGATCTTATTAACACAATAGCCCATCACACCAAAACATCATTCCACCATCCAAAATTACTATTATACAATTAATATACTAATTTATTAATTTATCTTCCACTTAGCAATTAGTTATAAGATTAAAAGTTTAGGATGTTACATGTGGCAACATGTGAAAGTTCTTCCTGACAATAGATGACCTTTGTCTATGGTTTTTGGACCTTTTGAATACAATGGTGATGTCAGAGCCTCTAAAAAATGACTAGAGATAAGACTTTCAAGGCTGGTAGTGACCTCTCTTGTTGGAAATTTCATGGACTCTACTTCTAGGTTGTTTTTCTTCTGGTTCCTAAGCCTAACAGCCTACACTAGTATTAAAAAATTGCACATACTTTAGGAAAATACTAAAACTCTATTTCTTAGATGTGTATCTTACAAGGAAGAACTTTCTATTTATATTATTTTGAAGGGGAACTTACAAGAAGTGTTTTAAAATTTCCTTATGGGCAAATGGCATTACTATGGAGTTATGGTTCACTATTCATGAAGAATTATGGAGTGTAAGAGGATAAGACTTTAAGAGAGGAAGTGATTCCATTCAAGGGCGTTCTCAAGATGCCTTGTTTCTTTAGGAATATTTTAGCGATGCCTTTGCCATCATTATCACCCAATTCAATCATCAATTCATTACTAAAAAAATGGAGTTCAAGTGATTCGGATGATCAATGTGAAAAATCACAAGGATAAAAAAGAAAAATGAAAGTATTGCAACAAAAGTAAACATAAACAAGACATAATAAAGCAGCTGAGAAATAGAATAGGAAGAAAATCTAGTATAATATTAAGAAATCGTGACAAAATGAATTACAAGAACTTAGTTCCTACCCAGAGGTGTATAAATCAAGACATAGTCCAATGCCTTCAGCTTCACTGCAAAATTAAAAACAAGAAAAATACCCTAAAATATAATATTTTCCATGTCACCAATTGAAGAGCTTCTTCTTTGTTGTAATTCCAGCATCTATATGGACAAATCAACTTACATGATTCTAAAATCAACAAAGAAAAATTGATTTAATTGGCAAGTATTTTGACCCATAACTCATAAGATTGTGAGATCAAATCCTAATGTCAATGTGACAATCTTATGGATAAGTGATTTGAAAGTGCCTCTGTAAGCCCTCATTGAGCTTAGAAGAATAACCAAACCTTGGTGAGCTCCCAGGATCTAACTCACCAACTTTTTACAATGAAAAAAATGATTCTCAGATCCATTATGATGAAGGGAGTGTATCAATCCAATTGAAGCTGCCCGCATGAACCACTTGAAACCACTTGGGTATCCCTTGGATTTGTAAATCCTTAAATTTTCTCTTGGTGGGATCATAAGTGGCCAAAGCCTTCCCTTTATACTCCAACAAAATCTCACCGTTGTTTAGAACACACACAGCTCTAACCCCTCTAGCTCTCGACATTGTCTTCATGAATTTCATGCCCCAACAATCCAATTCATTCTCTGTTAACCCGTTAGGAACATGTTTTCGAATGCTGAATTCCTTGGTCCAAGATTCCTTGACCCCATAATTTTTCATTACCCATATCTCTAATCTTCCTTGTCTGCAATAAAATGCTGCAGAAAGACAACCCTTTATGACAAGCAAATGGTATTCATATTTCTTCAAGGCTTCACTACAAGGCTTTTGAACAAGTTCGAATACCTCGTTTGTGAGATCAAATGATACAAGAGCACTACAACGATTCCTTGGCTGAGTCACCCAATGGAGTCTCCCGTTAACAATAATCTGTGAAGAACACTGAACAAAATGATACCCCACTTCCCCTATATCTCTCCACTTTGAGCTTCCCAGACTAAGAATCAGAGTCTTCGAACTTGGCGGTACTTTTTGTTTTGGAGAATCTTTGGAAGGGTTTGTATTTATAATTTGAACAACTTTGAATTCCTGAGTTTTCTGAACGAATCCGAATCCAATCACAACCTCTCGATTTGGGTGTCTCACAGGTTGAGGCAACCGTGCGAAGAAATTAGTGAAAGGGTTATACAGATAGAGTTTGTCACCGATCAAGGAATCGAACAAGCACAACACGCCATCCCATGATGCTACTACATCAAACTCAGGCATCGAAGAAGTGAAAATTGGAAGGAGAGTAGTGACCTTTTGGATGTTACCTGGAGAAGAATTGAAATCTGCGAAGCATACTTGACTGCGAATCGGAGTATCACAGTGAAAGATTAAGCACTGGTTGGTCTTGGTGATGCTAGAGAGATGAGGAGCAATAGAAGGGTCTTGTGCCAACGATCGCCATGATCGGCAAACGTACATGAAATTGACCAAAGACGAAACGGGTAGCTTTGAAAAGATCTCTAAGACGAGCTCGCGAGGGAGTCTCGTGAGAAAATCGAGTGGTGGTGCGTGTTCTTCAAGCTTGGTTCTCTTGCTTCTGCTCTGTTCTGTAGAGTCGAAATCCATGGATGAGGATGGAGAAAGCATTGGAGATTTGGAAGACAGGATGGTAAATTGATCAAGGGAATCAAAATGGAGATGGAAACAAGGAAGAAATTTCTTTGACTAAGACAAACTACGAATCGAGTATCGGATTTTGTGGAAGAGAATTTGGATTTGCTTTTTTGTTGTTTTTTTGGGCTCTTTTGGCCAATGAGTTTGGATTTGCTTTTTGACTCTGTTTCTTGTATTTCAGGAAAGTGTGGAGGAAAGTTCCTCTCACGTTTGAAAATCATATCATAAAAAACTGCAAAGTTAATGATTTCTTTATTAATTACCCAAAAATAAAAAAAGATTTCTGTTCCTGTTTTTGGAAATGTACTATAACTTTTATCTTTATTTGTAATTTAATTATATAATAAAATTTTAAAAAAATAACAATGATGAATCATTAAAAGAAATTTATATCAATCAAAAAATAATTATTGTCAAAATCCAAACTAAAAAAGCCTAAATAAATTATTATTAATTTAGAATTAGTTGTTAAAATTTGAATATATACTTATTGATAAAATACTAACTTGCACTAATAAATATTCATTCTGATTTTAACAACAAATAATCCTTAATTAATATAAATTTTTTCTAATGGTTCTTAATTGATATTTTTTCTAAATTTTTAGTATTATATAGTCATTTTTTCCACAAGTATTAAATAGGGAAAATGACAACAAATTCATTTGAAATATATAAATGATAATATAGTCCTTCAAAATGTTATAATTTCCCAAAAGTCCTAAAGACTTTTTTGTCATTAATTAGTTTATATAAATTACTAAATTGCTCTTGTAGAAAATAAATGATTTACAAGTTTTATTTAAATATTCACAACTTTTTTCTTATATTCGCAATAATGCAATAGCAAATAAGAAATTTAACATATAAAGTTGTGATTTGATGTTGCATTATTACGAATATAAGAAAAAAGGTTGTAAATATTTAAACAAAAATTGTAAATAATTTATTTTCAACAAAGGCAATTTTGATAATCTATATAAATTTATTAATGACAGAAAAGTTCTTAAAAACTTCTGAGTAATTATGACATTTTGAGGGATCAAATTATTATTTATATATTTTAAAGAGATTTTATTATTATTTTTCCTATTAAATAATGTTTAATGTAGCTCTACCATCATGATTTTATGAATATTTTGTTAAATATATTATTTCTTTGATCTATTCATGTTCTTTCATCAATATGAACTCCTCTTATATAAATAGTTATAAAATACAAACATCTATTCTCTCTTTAGTGTTTTATTTTCATCCTCTCTCAACTGTTAATTAACTATTATGTCATTAGACTAAAATACTATTTTTCAAACTATAAATGAATCATTCAAATTAACAAAGATTTGATGTATATATTTTTATTTTTTATTTATATTTTAAATTTTTAGTTATATAAACATATTAATTTTTTTATATTTTCTAAAATTTAAATATATAAGTTGACCAAAATAATATTTAAAACACGAATTTGAAAAAAATTAATATAATAAATTGCTCAATATACTTATATTTATTTTTAAATTTTTTAAAATTTTAACACAAAATTTTAAGTTATTTATTTAAATATCAAAATAATCATTTAATTTTCCTAAAATTAGTAGGGAGTAGACAATAAATAATAATTTTAAAATTTTCAACCTAATTACAAATAAAAAATTAAGTATTTTAAAACTTTTAATAGAATATTCCTAATACTATTAGTTCTTGGATTAAAGTGTATGTTTTGAAAATACAAGGAAGTGTTATGTAATTTTGGCAAAATGAGAGGAAGATCATTGTATTTTACTGTATGAATTATATAGTTTGAAATATGTATAAATAAATAAACTAACTCCAAACTTTATATCTAATAGCACCATAGATTCTAAATATATTTATTATACAAATTATTCTCATAACTTTTGAAAACGGTGTGATCTGGCTACTGGCATTAATAAAATTTAATTTTGATAATTAGTTAACTATAAAATGATAGAAAATGACTTAAAAAATTATAGAAATTGGCCAAAAATTACAATAAGATCCAAAATTTTAACAAGGATCCAAAATTATAGGAAATGATTAAATTTGGTCATTTCTTATTATTTTTCAGGTCTTTTTCTATCACTTTTTAGTCAAGTAATAGTCAAAATTAACTTCTTACACCATTTTCAAAAGTTGACGAAATAATTTATACAATAAATAAATTTAGGGTCCATGATACTACTGGACATAAAGCTTAGAGGACAATTTGCTTATTTATTCTTAAAATATCAAGAAAATATTTAAATAGTTACATCAACAATAACAATTATATAATTAAAGAACAAAAAGGAAATTGTAATATAAAAGTTAGTTTTTATTAAAAATTATTAAAATATAAAAACTTGCCTAAATATTCATTTGACAAGATTTAAATACTTAACATTATATATTTAACATATTTTTTGTCTAATTAAATAAAAATATATGATTTTTAATATGTTAAGAGATCATTGCATAATAAATAATATATAAAAAATTCATGTAACATCCTAAAAATTTTAAGACTCAAATTTATTTAAAAAAAATAAAATAAAATAAAATAAAATATCTATAATTAAATTAAAATTTAGAATAATTTAATAGAGGCCCAGAGTTCGAATTTTACTAAGCAAAAGTTTGGTTTTATTTGATTTTTAACTATGGGAAAAATTACCAAAGTTGACCCGGGCTTTTGTGCAATAATAAAAAATGTTGGGCCCTTTCTTGTAATTTTCCCCAAAGTTTTTGACCAGCATTTTAAGGAGCAAACTGATGCAGAAACGCAGAGAAAATGAGAAAGGAAGCAAACGCACAAACGGGAGAGAGAGAGAGAGGAAGAAGAGAAGAGAAAGGGAGGGAGTTAGGCTTGGATCTAGGAGTCTTTGCGACCATTGCGAGCTCGGCTACACGATAGGTAAACTCCCTACTTCAATCCTCTTCTCTTTCTCTTGATTTTCTTCAATTTTTGGAAGAGGAAATTTTTGGATTTTGATCCCAAAGGCTTTATTCTTGTAAGCTTTTGTTTCTTTGGATTCTAGGGAGCATGTTTTGAGTTTCTATATAGTGATTTAATGTTTTGAGTGAATAATTTAATGTTTTTTTGAGTGAATAATTGGATGAAAAGAGGTGTTTTGGGCACAAAATAAACCTTGAGAAATTGGGTTTTTGCTCCTCAATGGTTTAAGCCTATTGATTTAGTTATAATTTTGCTATTTGAGCCCAATAAGATTTAAATTAAGGTTTGGTTTTCATTATAAGGGCTAATGGTGAAAGTTGGTGGCACTAAGTAAAGGTTTTTAATTGATTAAAAAAATTATATAAATTGAAAATTAGCCTAGTGATGGCTAATAAATGGTTTTGGTGGTTAAGTGATACTATGTGAATGGTTGGTTTAATATATGGACCATTAGGGTGGATTATGACTCATTGACCTAAGTTGTGTGGTATAAGTTATAGTCTTCATTAATACTATTTGTCATGATAAGTGATGTGGATCTATATGTTGTAGAAAATTGTTGGTGGAACTTATTGAGAAGTAAGGAACAAGCCGAGCCCTATTTTGTACAAGGGAAACCCTTTTAGTACCAAAGGGTTGAGGTAACAGGGGAATTTATATTTCTTATTACTTTGTTTTAGCTATTTTTGAATAAATATTACTAGTTATCATGCATTACATGTTTTAAAAGATTAAATGTGCTTTATAAGGGGTTATGGGGTACTACTTTGATTATAGTGCAAATATGTTTTCTAATTGTTTAATAACAATGTTTTTATGGAAATGAGATTTATAAATATTATACTACTTTAGAGTGTTGAATGGTCAATACTCAGGAAAGGTAGACAAGAGTAAAAGGCATGATCTCGGTGGGAGTTCACCAATGAGAAGGTGTGGATTTTTGATATTCTATGGCACACTGTCAGTACTCAGTGTTGTCTTACGTATTGTGGGCTCAGTGCACTAAAGTGGTTAGTGTATTGAGTGTTCGACACCTCTCAGTGGGGGAGGGAATCCGACATATGAAGTGTGAGGTTGAGTGCCTAGGCCAAGGTAGCCCTCACATGGAGAGTAAGTCGGGCTGGCTCTGGGAGGGAGTTAGCTTTGACTGCTCAGGATTCACGTCGAAGGGGCATAGGCGGTTCGGTGGATTAGATCATGCCTTAGATTATGTTTTGTGCCTGTGGAGGTACAAGTAGGTATAAGGTTTACCTGCGAGTTAAAGAGTGCCAGGGGGCATTCTGTTGGTCATGAAAGGCCATATCGGCCTAGGTCATGCATTCATGCATTTTAAATGGCTAAATTATATACTATGTTGAATTTATTATTCATTTATTTAATTATAGCTTACTTTGTAATAATCAATATAGATTTCACTGTTACTGAGACTGTGGTTGTCTCACCCCTTTCTTTTCAATATTCTAGGTCCAGGCGAAGGATCCAGTGGTGGACGGGGAAAAGAGCAAAGCTAGGGGTTTGCTTGTGATTTGTAAAGAACTGCAACCCCTTTCTTTTGAGCAAATATATTGTAATGTATTTAAGATTAGGGTGCCAGTAGGATATGATTATGTGTGTGTGTGTGAATATGTGTGGATTGTGTGCTTGTGTATGAATTTTTGTCTGTTTGCAGACTTGTGGCTAGGAAACTTGGTTATGGTGTGTGGTTTTGATGGATTTACTTAGTAGACCAAGTTTCTATTACAAGCAGATCTTTATTTTGATATATATGTGATTTTATAAGCAAATGCAAAGTGGTTGCATTGCAAATGGTGTGCTATGGGAAAACATACAGCTTGGATAGAGAGAGTGGGTGCGTGGGCCCCACAAGGAGCTTTGAGCCAAGTGAAAATGTTTAGCATATGTATTTATATAAATACATGGTATTTGGATTGATTTGTGACCACTCTTGTATGATTTGTGCATTTTGGGGGTTTAGGGTCCATTTTAGGAAATG